GACTACTATCATCACTTAACCCGAAATGATGACAAACTTGTTAAGATTATTGCGCTACCCAAGAACTCCAACGAAGTCTGCTCAACGTTCAAATGGAAGCTGACTGGGCCCTCATCCCAAGGCGTTCAATGATTATGCACACTTCCTGCTATTTTTTCGAACCCTGCATCAATCATTCCTTAAGGGTGAGCCGTGCTACTTAACGAGGGAAGGGATGTCTAAATGATCAGTCCTCAAACCTGCCTGTTCTAATTACACAGGCCCCTAGATGCCTAAATCCTAAACCCTAAACCCTAACACCTAAAACTCAAAACCCTCAACCCTAAACTGTCTACTTAGATAGGCTCCCACATAACCCGAGGCAGGCAAGGTCAAGTGCGTGGGCTCGGCCCTCTTCCTGAAGTCCCAGCAACCTGGGCATGAATCTAACATAGGTCAGATTAGGGTTTAGGGATCAGAATTTAGGGATTAGACTTTAGGGGTTGGAGTTTAGAGATTAGAGTTTACGGGTTAGAGTTTAGGGGTTAGCGTTCGGCGATTAGGGATTAGGGTTTAGGGATTAGGGTATAGGGGGGTTATAGGTACGGTTATGGGGGATTCAATAAGGATTGTAGGGGGTTATATGGCGAGTCTAACAGGAAGCAAGGGGGTGTTGGGTTCCCAAACCTCGAAAAGAAGGACTCTACGACTTTCATATGGCCCTTGTAGTTAATTATTGGAAGAAGTCTTAGAAATTACAGGGGTAGCGTTTACCAAAATGCCAAATTTTTCCAATTACAAATATACATCCTGATACAGCCTCTCTACAGTCCCAGTTTCCACTTGATTTTCCATTTTCCGTTTCCATTTGATCTCCATTGTAGGCATAAGGATTGCATGTATCAAGTTCCGCCATTTGCTCACAATAGTCCAGACATTCTATCTTCCCCTGTAAGTTACGACTACGTGTTTTGTGGTTGAGGTCTTTTTGAGGGAGATTTGGCAAGCCCAGCAGAGCAAATTTAGACGACCTTATCCCAAATGGTGGCTTATTCAAGGGGCCTTTGGTTGGAACCTCAACTTGGAACCTAGGGCTTCAGGGGACAATGTAGTTCTATGCTGACTACCATTTTGGGTTCCGACTTTTCCTCCCCTGATCTAATCATATTGGGTTTATATTGGGATAATGGAAAATCCAATGGAAACTACTATAGTATATTGGGGTTTATATGGGATTAATGGAAAAGAAAATGGAGACCACTATAGTATAATCTATGTTTCCTTGGAGAATCCCGACAAGGCCATAGAAACTTGAATCTGACCCAGGTATGGGGTGGGCTACACGCTGACAATTGCCAAATTGCCGCAGCCATCAGCTCCTAGACTCCATTTAGCCTGCCTGTTTAGGGTTTAGGGTTTAGGGTTTAGGGTCTGGTCAGCAGGTGATGGATTGGGTCCATCTAGCAATTTCCAGATCATCCCCCTAATAATACAGTACGTGGCTTCCATTTTCTTTTCCATTGCTTCAATCCTTTCTAACCAGAGGTAAGTCACTCGATCTTGGCCGTCTGGGTTGCACTAATCCGTAGACTAACCCTATACTGTATAGTAGTTCTCGTGGTCTCTTCCATCTCCTTTCCATTTTCTAGACCTTAAACCCCCTAAGGGTTTGGATGTGTCTAGCGCCTACAGTGGATTATAAGTTATAAGTATACGTACAAAGTCCACGTGACCCGTATGGGGATGGGTGTCTGGGCCTCGTGTGGGTGTTGGCGGCGCATTTTGCTAGCTTTCCTGAATCCCTTGAGGCCCTAAAATGTCCTAAGGGACCGTAAACAAAATATTGTCCTTTAGAAGCTCCCTTGGATCATTCTGGGGGCATGTTCACATGGAAGTTGTAGCGTGGCTAGTGGTTGAGAAATTTGTTCATCAGCCAGCAAATCCCACAAAGATGCGATGTTGTGTTACCCTTGCGAACGCAGACGGTTCCTATCGACCAGTAGCGCATGGCAAGTGCAGTCGGAGTCCGCCAGGAAAGTAAATAAGGGCCATGGACAGAATTTTATGGGCAGCAGGTTTCACATTAAGCACGGTCATGCGCTCCAGCATGACGACATGTCAATTCTATATCGACATAGGTTGCAGGACGCAGTCCAGAGGAGCTGCCTGCAAATTCAACATGCTAGACCGTAAGTTCAAGTCGTCGCTTGCATGAGTTGAGCCCAGATTGAGGCCCTGGCATTCGTGCTTTAGGGTTTGAGGTTTTGGGTTTTCATAGGCAAAAGCCTTCACCTTCAAATCCCTTTCCTGGACACCTGATTGGCCCATGACCTACTGCACTTCCACAGGGAATGAAGGAGTGGGAATGAAGGAATGGGTATGAAGGAACAGAAAAGAACGTGGACAAATGTATACCGATGTTTTAGGCTTTACATAGGGCTTTTGGACTCGAAAGGATAATGAAAACGATTCTCTTCTTTGGGATTTATGCGAATACATTTAGGAGCCTCCAGCTCAGTCCGCCGACCCAGAGGCGGAGAAGCCGCGAACGCAACGACGGCGTCAACCCTAAACCCCATGAACCCTAGAGCCGAAACCCTAAACCTTGATGTTTTCAGCGGCTGGCACGAGACCAATCCGCGCAACAAGATTAGTTCAAGCTATGCTGCCGGGACTCCGCAGCCTTGCTGTTTTCAGTGGCTGCGCACAAAACCAATCGGCGCAACAAGCCAGGTTGCCAGGATTGCGCAGGACCAACACCGCATTTCATTGTTGCAGATGTATTCAGGCCTTGATGAGAGTTACTCAACACGACTGCACACTCGGCATTAGGCCTGGCCCTTCGCCCAATCAAGCCAGAAACGCTTTTTTCGCAAAATCTTCTGGGGGAGCCTTCATGCCTTGCCAACCAGAAGTAACCCCAAAACCCTAAACCCTACGCCCTATAAACCTTGAACTAAAAGCCCTAAATCCTAAACCCTAGCCACTATAAACCCTAAACCCAAGCCCTTTAAATCCTTAACCCTTCTCCCATAAATCCTGAACTCAACAAAGGCCGAACAGAGCCGGGCCTTAGAGGCTTTGATCCGCGAACGCTGCTCCCAAGCGGAGCTTCTCAGCGACGTGGGTGCGCCCAACTTGGGGGAGATTGGGGTTTGGGGTTTAGGGGGCTTGGATTTAGGGTTTTGGTCTTAGGGCTTAGGATTTAGGATCGTACAACACCTGCGCAAAAGGTATTCGCCACAAGATGCCTATGAAGAAGAGAGATAACAGATAACAAAGAAGAAGGGCACTGATGACACTGTTGACATGCCCAAGTCAGAAATGCCTACCACATCCTACCACGTATCTCAACAGCAGACCTGCTTGGAGGGTCAGTGGGACTTTGTAACCCCTATAGACCATACACCAACCCCCAGATATCCGCATGATTAACCTCCTTGTGAGACTCCCCGTGGCCCTGAAACTCGGTACCTCCCTATCGCCCTGATGCAAACCCCAAACCCCAAACCCTAAACCCTGCATCAAAAACACTATAAACCGTAAAGCCCCGTATGTAACCCGTAAACCGCTCAACCCTAAACATATTGACCCGACACCCTAAACCATAAAACACTAACTATCTTGACCCGAATAATATCTTGACCCTAAACCCCGTTGTGCAGGCACAGAGCTAACGTACCGGATGCCTTTTGAGGAGCTCTCCCTTGAGTGCTTGAGCCGTCTGTGCTTCCCGTTGCAGGGGCGGTTGGGCTGCTAGGGTTGCTGCGCCGACGTATAGGGATATGCAGGAAATTTAGGGTGGTTCATGGTTTCCGAGAATCATCTAGGGGTCGTTTTCTGGGAGGACTAGAGTTCTGCGGTGCACAAGAGGCCCTCTGTGTTTGGCATCCCCGTTCTCTGCCATGATAACACACGAAACCTTACTTGTATGTTTTAAGCTCATGAGTATGTGACATTGCGACGAAACAGGGTCCTTGGAGACCTCAAAACAGGTTCTGGGTAGAAGGGCCCTCCCGGACTACACATTTGGGACAATGGCACAATACATGCGAAGTCTAATGGATGAAGTCACTCACATTGCGCCTCAGTAGCTACGTATGCCGGTCGCCCAAGTCTAGACCTTCAGGAATGCTCCTTGGTTTGCACCTCGTTCTTTTTGCCGTGGACTAGACGCTGCGCAATGTTGTCCCAAAAGCCACGGTAGGACAGGGCGCGACTGTTGCAGCATAGTAGCGTGCGTCAAGTTTGTCAAGAAGAGTTCGTTGTGCTTGCTCGCAGGTTAGCGCCATGGTCATTGCCTCTGATCTTGGCCAAAGCATTTAAGTAGCGGGAGCCTACATGCCTAGTGGATGGGACTTGGCCTAAACTTGGGTTCCAGAAAAGGGCGAAAATCATACAGAGGCCCGTATTGTAATAGGAACCCCAAAAGCACAAAGTCCCGGGTGGCTTTAACTCAGGCTTATGACTATTTTAACGCAGCCAGCTTAAGTGCACCTGGAATCCTCCTATGGCGCAAACAGGCTGCTGAAAGTGCATGAGAATAGGGTATAGGGCGTAGGGTTTGGGGTGTGATTAGGCTGCGAAAGATGCCAAGGCTCTTGCTGGAACCCGTCCAATGTTTCCCTGCATATTGTAGAAGCCTGAATCCTCAGCTACATGATTTCCTTTCAATCTTTGTTAAGCCCCGCAAAACCTGACATGCTAAACCCTAAACCCTGAACCCTAGATCCTGAATCCTAAATCCTACACGCTAAAACTAGGGATGTTTTTTGGGGGGTGGTTGGGGAAACAAAAATACCTGAATTGTCGATTCGAATCCCAAAATAAGCCCTTGCAACACGTGTTTAAACCTTTAGAATAGCTCCTAAGTTCGTATTCCTTTTGGGGTACCCGCAGCCCCTTATCGTTCTAACCTTGAACGCTAAAGATTCACTCCCCCCCCAAAAAAAAACAAACAAACATCTTAAACACTGGGTTGGAGTGTCAACAAATTCACATATATTCCTTTTCTCCTGCAGGAGAGTGGCAATTTTCCCCAGCTGTTTGAAAGCTTAGAGCGAAATCCGCAGCGCTACCTGGTTGCACAAGACGGCACCCAGGTCTGGGCTTGAGGGTTTGGGGTGCAGAGGTTGGGGTTTGGGGAGCTTTCGGGGTCAGGGTTTTAGGACCGTCCTAGTGCAAGCTTTTTTCCGGCCAGTGTACTGCATGAGCCTGAATAATTGCCAATATTACTCCCTCATAATCTTGTTCTAGAATGGACATTTCAAAATCGGATCAAACAGGCGGCTGACTATTCGGAAGGATCTGTGTTGCGGTGGACCTTTTCTTCACTTGCTTCCGACGTGAAAATTCAGGTTGCCTTCCATTATTCCTGTTGATAGTGTTGATACAAAAAACCCTGCGTTCCTCTCAGCACACTATTGTACCATGTTTCCAAAGGTTTAGGGTACTTAGGACCATGCAGGATGTTTTATTTCAATCATGTCTTCAGGCATGATATGTAGTGTGTGCACCTTCACACGGTCATGATTCATCCCACGCTGCCAGGTTATGGTATTGAGCTATTTGGCGTTTCCGTCACGACGCTGGAGGAGGCTCCTTTGGGAGTTTTGCAGAATATCCTCTATAGTCCTCGATTGGTACACCTCGATTCCTTTTGTCTTCTACAGTCCTCAGTTGGCACACCTCGATGTCTTCTGATGACACCTACATATCGTTGGGGTCCCTCAGGGCCCCTTTTAAGAAGACCCCACATTTTTCAACACCATTGCATGAGGATAGAGATAATTTTTGGCTTCGCTGCATTTTACTTCCGAAGCTGAAGATCGTCTGCGCAAAAACTGGAATGTGGACACTGCTCAGGGTTTTGGGCTTGCTTACCTGTTGCGCATGTATTGAAAGCTTCAAGAGTCTTGCATCGGCCCTGTCACTCCATATGGTTATTCCGCAGAATCATCCCCTACAATCCCAAAGAAAGACCCCCCTAATCCGCTGACAATCCGTATATAATATGCTTCTTGGGGGTCTGTAAGGGCCGCGTACTTTGGGACGGCCAGCTGGCTCTGATAGTTTTTTGAAGCCGTGTGTAGCACGTTCGATGCACTAGCACCTTCAATCCTAAACTCTTAGGAAGTCTTTGGGCCCCCACTACCTCCTACAACACTACCCATCTAGACCCAAAGAATGAAATGGCCTCAATACGGGTGGGCTGCCAGGTAGTGGGGGTCCTGAGAGTCCCTAGGATAATCTCAAGCAGGAATTCATTCAGTGCGGTTACCTGCACCATGCTTCAAGAAGTTATCAGAGTTTAGGGTTAAAGACTCTTCAGGGTTGAGGCACTAGGGTTTAGGTTTAGGGTTTAGGGTGCGTCAGGTGTAGGACGTATTGCAACAGAAATTATGTTGTAGTTTACGTGGAGATACTCAGGCGGAATCAAATTTGGGACACGTTGTTCACTAAACCTCATATACATACATGTGTAAATCTACATACATATATATATATATATGTATATTCCCTATAACCCTACTGAAGAGACCACATTACTGGTATTGTTTGTTAGATCTCTAGCTCGAAGCCTTCGGCAGCTATTCCTCAAGGCGGAGCCTAAACCCTAGACCCGCCAAAAACACTCATGTAAGCACCAAACAATCCCTCTATGGTCCCTCATCTTATTCCAGGGAATCTAGCGTTTTTTTAGATATCCTAAGCCCTCTACCCTAAACCCTAGACCCGAAACAACCCTCAACCGCCTTCAGCAGGTGTTCTTGAAGGTTGGCCGTGACCACACAGAGGCCGACATCGCTGAGGATGAGCGGCTGCAACAGGTGCCGGCTTTGGCTTCAAAGGAGCCTACTTAATATGAGTTAGAGTTTTCAGGTGGAGCTGGGGGATAATGGAAAGAAAATGGAAACTACTATAATGGGTTATATAGGGGTTATATAGGGGTATGTTAATATAGGGTCTAAACTTCTGAAAGGGGGGTTATGTAGGGGATTATATATACCCTGTTATCTAGGGTTTAGGGATAAGGTTGTAGAGTCTAAGCTCCTTCAAGGGGTTATCAACGGAGTATTTTAGACTGTAGCTCAAATAAATGGCTTGAGGTTCAGGGTATTTGGGTTTCAGGGGTGTAGGGGTTTGTGATTTTAGTTTGGGGTTTGAAGGATTAGGGTTGACGGGCTTGAGGGGTGTGCCACATTCGGTGAGAACTGTCCTGCTTGGGCTTGGATACCAGTGTCAGTAATGCACCGATTGCTTTCAGAGCACGGAGCCGCCATGAATCATCCTAAACGTGGCCTCCGTACATCTAACGTAGAAGCCTCAAAGACAATCTGCTTCTTGCTTATCACCTTTGTATATAGAGCTATAGCATAGCATGCCCCAACCCCAAAACCATGTTCGACCAACCCCAAAACCATGTTCGAGTCATTTAAGCCCCTGAACCCTACCTTAATCTTCCGGGCCTATTAAAACCTTTGCGTAAGTATGGTATACTTTGCCCCACAACCATGTTCTAGTCATTTAAGCTTAATCTCTTGAGCGTGTACCAGTCATACGTATGGAACGGAGGGGTGATTGCAGGGATGATTCTACGGCGTTATATGGGGACTACTGTAGGGATCCACTCCCTGCAGCACCCCCAAACCCTGGAAGAGGGGAAAGGTGCACAAGGCAGTTTCATGTCCAACCCTTAGCCCCAAAGCCTAAACCCCAAACCCTAAAACCCAAGACCCAAATATATACCCAAATATAGTAGTTTCCATTTTGTTTTCCATAATCCCTGTATAATCCCAATATAGCCCAAGACGAAAGGGAACGCCTTTCCAATGTTGCCAGGCCAGCTTCGTTCGGCAAATCTCCACCGAGAGGGCCCCTCTGGCAAAGAGTTGAGTAGGGTCTGGATGCAGGTGGTTGTCAAAATTATGGGCCTTTTTTTGGAATCCTTATTATGATACGGCACTTAATATCTAGGGTACCCAAAAAGGGATCATAATCTTGACAACCAGCCATGTGCCTGTTGAAGGGTTTAGGGTTTAGGGCTGTAAATGATTCAGGGTAGGGTCTGCGTTTTGCGTCCGGGCCCTGCTGCCAACATTATGAAAAGAGTTCAAAATTCATGGGGCAACAAAATGGAATATGAAGCAACAACTGGTTTTACCTAGGTTGTTGAAATAGGACTGTAGGGTATAGAGTGCAAGAGCTTTGCAATGATGATTAGAGAAGAATGTAGCTTTATTATTCCTGGATGCCCCAAAACCGTAAACCCTCGACCCTGAACCCTGATTGAAAGCCGTGACAGGCTTTAGGGCCACCTCCCAGAACCCCGAATTGAAGACCCTACACGCTTCCACGTTCGGCACTCCGGGCTTCACGTCCTATAGATAAGTTGAGTTTAGGGTTTCGGCTTAGGGAGGAATGCGATTTTGGGTAAGATGAGTTTACTTGGAGGGTCACGGGGACTGAGGATAACTACGGATACTATATGGGTTATAGGTTATATTAGCCTACTTACTAAGCCCCCAAGACCTCTAAGTAGGATTTGGGATTTCGGGCGATATCTACAATTCTGAGGGTAGCACCTAATTACAACCTTTGTTGGTGTACTCTCGGCCCTTCTAATGAGTTCCCCTACTACTCCCTCCTAGACGAACCCCCCAGGTTCCACTAAACAGCCTCAAGTAGGCTTCATTATCTTTAGATAGCCTGAACATTGGGGGAACCGAAGGTATAGTGTATGGGGTTGGTGAGGAGAACCCGCTTGTAATTCCTCATGAACTTCACCTCCAAGTAGGCACTCCCACTGTCGATGAATGAAGCAGGGTTTGGGGTTCAGGGTTTGGGGTAAGGTGGTCAGGTGGTCACGGTGCAGTTTCTGCTCAAGCTTGGTGAGCCATGACGTTGTGCTCTCACTGAGCAATTTGGGAGTTTCTCAAGATAGCCCCTATGGAATCCCTAAACCCTAGGCCCTTATAATCCCCATGTCATCCCTATCTCATCCTAGGGGCAAGTCTGAGAAATTCCCAGATGCTGCACATCTGGCTAACTTCAGGCAAAGAGCTGGCATCCGTACCATTGGGATTGTTGACCGATGTGAAGGCTCTGAAGCAGCTTCTGCAGACGCCCTGCGGGCTGCCACGCTTCAGGCAGAGACTTCGTCACCAAGGCACTGTTCCTCTTACTCCATTGGGAATTATTTTGAGTTAGTCTTTGTAGCATAACTTCCTTGGCTTTTCGAACATGATGGTGAGATTTTAGGTCTAGGGGGATTTCAGGTTCTGGATGAGGATGCAAAGCTCACGGCAGAAACAGATCTGCAGCTTGTGCTTCTGCCGTTTGAAAGCACATCAGCAAAGCACATTCATGAAATGAACACCGCAGCGATACAAGGCAATAGCACGAAGATTCTTGGTTGCGTTTACAGAAACTCGAATTCAAGTTACAAGTATAAGGATGCATAGTAAAACAAAAAGAGCGTGGTTTCCCGTAATGCTTACCTAGCTTGAGCTCCCCAACAGCAACCCAGGATTGAGGCGCTGCTGCGTCGACCCACACACCCGGATGTGAGTGACAGTCTTGTGTCGACACCGCTTGTGCACGCGTCTCTCTGTGGGCATTTGAAGGTTGTGGAGCTGTTGCTGGAGGCCCACGCCGCCATAGACAAGGCTGATGAAGACTTTTTCTCGCCTTTGGCTGCTGCATGTTGCAACTTGACTATGTATGTGCGGGCTTCCAAATTCAAGGCAAAATTCAAGGGTCCTTCTTGAGGGTCCTCGCAAACGGGAGTCTAGTACGTTCGGGGGTATGTAGGGAATGTAGGGGGTACCTTAAATTTTCCAATACATATTATACATACATACATGCAGACGTATTTTGATCAGTCATTGGTCTAATGATCTGTTGTAGTGTAAGCCTGAAAGGCATTACAACTGAAGCAAAACGCGGCTTAGGTGAGAGTCACGAGGAGATAGTCCGTGTGTTGCTCAAGGCCGGTGCTGACGAGGACAGGATCAGCTACCGCGGAACGCCTCTTACTTGGGCAGCTTATAATTACGGCCAGGAAGAGGTGGTGCAGTTGCTGCTGGATGCCCGTGCAGACAAAAACCGATGCGATGAGGATGGGTACACGGCGCTGACCGCGGCAGTGTCCCAAGGTCACTTGGACGTGGCATGTTTGTTGCTGGATGCCCGCGCTGATGCGGAGATTCTGTGCCCATCGCAGAAGACTCCCCTATGCGTGGCGTGTTGTGCTGGAGATCTGGATATGGTGCATATGTTGCTGTCTGCCGGTGTCAACAGGGACTCGATCAGTCTCAAAGGCACGCCGCTCACTTGGGCAGCCTCTGAAGCTTGCGCAATGTGGGAATACTTTCGCAGCCCTGGTAGAAACAGTTCTGTATGTACTACTATCCCATCTTCTGGAGCCTAGTAAACTGAATGCACTTCATGTCCAGAGAGTCTTCCATGCAGCTTAGGAAGGCCACGTGGAAATCGTGAGGGCTTTGCTGATTGGCAGGGCCGCTGTGAACAAGCTTGATGCGAATGGGCGTACGCCCTTGACCGCAGCATCTTCTCAACATCATTCCGACGTGGTCAGCCTTCTGAGAGAAGCTGGTGCTCAGGCTTGATATTTGCAACATCGAAAAGAGGACCACTTCATTGATGTGCAGAAGAAGGCGAAGAAGAGAGGTGGCATTCCTTCCCCACTTGCAGGCTGAGACAAAGTTCGCCGAGGTTTGAGAGCTTGCGCCGTAGACTAAAGATGATCTCAGCTTCAGTGCGGGTGGCATAGTCGGAATCTGAAGAAGATTCGTAAACATAATTAGTTACAGTAGCTACAATCTTTATTGCTGTGTACTTTATGGAAAGCCACGCTACGTCCCATCAGCAAAGAGCCCCTAAACCCTAAACCCTGGATGATGCCTGCGTACCCCCAAGCTGCACGCGACTCCTCATGCACCGAAGGCTGAAACTGGGGCAAACTCCATGCAATATTGACTTGATTGCATTGAGAGCGCTTGCTAAAAAGCAACCGGGTGAAGAGTTTTGAGTACAGGGTAACAATAATTACGGCGACCAGCGAGCTAGCATGCAAACTGCTGCGCTGCTGACATTGCCGGCTCGTGCGCTGGCCCTTCTCGCTGATTATGGCTGATTCAGGTTTGAGGCTGCAAGTTTTTCTGAACCCTAAACCCGAAACCCTTTAAATTGCATTCTTGTGCAGAAAGCCAGTATCAGAATGTTAGAATGTTCGAAGTCCTTTCAAGAACCATGTCTTGCATCATTTGTTAAGGCGGTTAAGGGTGTAGGACAACCCCAAAGAATTATGGTGTGGGGATTCAGTGAAGGGATCATTTTTCCAAAAATGCACCTCCGTGCCGAAATCCTATAACCCATCTTATGGGACCTCCTCCCCGAGGGAGTGACCCCCAATTCTTGGAACTCCTAAACCCCAATCCCCAAACCCTATACCCATTACACATCCCAATGTAACCCTCTTAAAGGGACCCCTAATTTGTAGAATCCCTCAACCCCTAAACCTCCCTAAGCCCTGTTGTGAGTCACTTCGATCCAAGGTACGTGCCATCAGCTCTTTGGAGCAGGGAAGTGAGGCTTTCATTGGGAAGTGAGGGTTTAGACTTTAGGGTTTAGGGCTGAGTGATCAGGGTTAGATTTCAGTGTTTAATCGCATATGGCTTGGGAGTTAGGTTTCTGCGTATTGGATCCAGGATGTTAGTTTAGGACTTTGGGTTTATGCCCTGCGACTTAGGATTTTGTGTTCGGGGTTTAGGGCTTATGGTTTACGATTTGGCTTTCGGTGTTTAGGCTTCAGGGTTCAGGATCTTGGGTAGGTGCTCCCTATCCAAGAGGTGCCATGCAACGAGGTACACAGACTCGGTCACACCTCCTGTAGAGGTCCTAAATTTATATCTTGGAATGGACCCTGTGGTAATGGGTATCAGTGAGTAGACCTTTACGAGGCAATCAAATTAGGATTAAAACAATTTTGAGTGATTGTTGTTTTCTTAAAGCCCTCAACTGTTCTTGAATTGTTTGCATCGGTTTCTTTGTGTTATGCATGGTATTCCAGGTCTCGGCTTTTTGAAGCGGTGTAGGGTGTGGGCTTTTGGCAAATACTGGCATGAGCAGCGGGAAGTGGCAAACAAGCATGAGGGCAGCTTCTTACAAGCAGGTTGTCTTGCCTTGCTGGTGCTGAACGGGAAGTGAGCGACGCTACACTTCGGACTAAAAACTTGTACAACAACCCTGCAAAAGGAAGGCGTGACCCAAAATGGATGGGCCTAATGTTCTTACCAGGTTTCAACCGCTACATTTTGCCGATAGCTCAAATGGATCCTTATAAGTCTCCCTGTGCTATCCAGGATGCACTCCTATTATGGTCCGTATGTTCACTCCTGGGCTATCCCTTGAGCACCGGGAAGTAATCTAATTTTCTGAAGGCATTGCCCAACGCAAACAAATGAGTGTGGCAGTTTGGAATAGTTGTTAGTTTCTCTTATTGTTTTTATGAGGGAGCCTAGCCAGCTAGGACGGGGATGCAGAGATGGTACGTGCAGAGAGCATTGGGCTTCAGTATAGCCCAAATGCCGCTCTTCAGCTAGTTACGGAAAAACCCAAGTAAAACAAACAGGTAACATCTTGTGGCCTCTCATATTTATGGTTATAGCTCTAGACGAGTAGACATAATTTCTGCACTTCAATAGTGAGGAGGGTCCCCCCCTGATCATGCTGTCTGATCCCCACTATTGTGGAGAAGGAGAGGCCCTATTCTCACGGCGCAGGAATCATTTGTTGAGCGTTTTGATCCTTAATAAGCTTTAGTAAGCAAATCAGATTTCCGAATTACCTTTCATAGTCTTGTTTTCGAATCAGCCACGCAAGTGAGTCTACTACCTAAACCCTAAACGTCTTAAAGTGAGCTCCTGGATCCAATTAGCATTCATTAAGCTATTTACAAGTATTCCCAAATCAGTCACTACCTGTTTGCATTCAATTAAAGAGCGCTGCAATGCGTCTATAGGTCTTTCAGGAGTGGTTTTTGGCCCCCCAAAACTGCCTCCCACTTTAAAGTGCTGTTGGACACCCCAAAATAGCCCAAACTAATTTCTTTCGATCTAGGCGGTTTTGTAAATGGGCAGCCCGGATTACGTAGCCCTTCACTAGCAGCCCAAAGCCCTAAACCTAAATCCTAAGGTAGAGATACTAGTCAAGAACTTTGTTGACCCGATGAAGCAGGATCCAGCGCACAGCAGTACTTCTCAAATGGCTGTTCCACTGACGGCCGAGAGGACGTCCTAAATTCGGTGGCGTTTTTTAGAGACTAGACGGTATACCATGGTTTCCAGAGATTCGCAGGGGTCCATGCAGAGCTGTGGCTTAAGTTTTGCCAGCCGTGCTGTCTTCTTCTGGAGTGTAATGGGCATCTACCTCCGTTCTCCTATTCCTCTTCTTTCGGGAAGATTCGGAGTTGTAGAATCTAGCAAGGGATCTTCATGTTGAGACAGCAACTACGTGGCATAGAGAGGTTCAGACCTGCGGGTGAAGATAGGTGGGTTACAGAATTCCTATTGTAGACTCATTTCATGTTGGGGCTTTATTTCCTATACATCATCTTCCTTGACGTCACCGTTTGAGCCCTCTGATTTTCATGAATTCTAACGAATGAACGCGTTCTTTTTGTTGTAATTGCCATCTTCCAGAAGTGTTCGCTTCCATGAGCAAGGGCCCAGTATAGACCCCCAGCAATCATCCTCCATATAACTATACCAAGGAAGTACCGTTTATTTTTTGGAAACGCTGATAGTCGTCTCGAATATTAGATATCTAGGTGTGGGCACTGCTTAATTCTGCGTAGTATGAGCGGACTAGGTATCATTCGACCAGAAGCCTTAAGCCCTAAACCCAAACCTAGAATTCCCCGAACTTGCCCACAACCCTGACGTGTGCGCTGGCATGCACGTCCGGGTGGTTCGTGGGAAATGAAGGAATAGGATATACGGACATTGGAAGAAGGACTTTGATATAGGGACTACCAGTAAGTTCAGAATGGTATGAGAAAAGCATCATGAACGCAACAATCGAAGCCTGCGGCCTGAAACAAGTTTGCACGCTCCCATTCAAAAGCTTGATTTGCAGGATCACGCCAGATTCGTCTGTTAGTTTCTCACGGCATGTGCATGCATTGCTCCCTTGCCGCAATTCAGATTTAGCTTCGATGTATTGAGTCCAGGTTTTTGTATTGGAACCTGGGATATATGGGGACGTTCATAGAAAGGGCACCAATATAGACCCCAATATGCTGCAAATGATTTAGTACGCACCCCAAATCGGACCCCTTACATTTGTTAGAAGCCCTGATCCCTGTATCTCCCTACATTTCCTCATATCCCCTTGAAGCACCCCCTAATCTTGATTCAAGGTTTGCTTGGGCTTGACAATGGATCTCTAAACTCCAGATAGGCATCCATCAGCAGCTGCAGGAAGGGCTTAGGGTTCGGGGTTTAGAGTTTAGAGTTTAGGGAGTTTAGGGTTTTTAGGGTCTCGAGTTTAGGGTTTAGAGTTTAGGGTTTGGAGACGGCTTGAGGTTTAGTGGAGATGGCTAGGCGCTGATAGAAGTTCCAGGATCAGCCTTGTGCCTTGTGCAGGAAGCCAGTAAACTTGGATTCTTGAATTCCTTGCTGGCTGATAGTAGCGCATGAAACCATACGTAAAGTAGCAGGTGTACAATCACGAATATTGCAGTAGACTCCTGGTTCTTGTGCATTCCTTCATTAATTTCTACCTTACTAACAACTAGCAAGATTGTGGTCCCTTCGTTCTGTACTAACAAGCGGGAAGATTGTGGAGGTTCGTGCAGCGGGGGTCAAGCTTGTAGTCCCTGAGCATTTGGCACACTTGTTTGATGTGCCTTGCTCTGCTCTACTTCCCAAGAATTACAAGATCACTGCTGAATGCAGCGTTCAAATTCTCAACCCTAAGTCAGCTGCTGTGGGACCACTCGCCGCGTTCGAAAGGCTAGTGAAGCGCTATCACAACGCGCGAAGGGATTCACGAGCGGGGGTCTCAGTATGCGTGTAACTTGCAGTTTGGATTGGAAGGTCTGAGTTATGAGGAGGTTTTGGTTACCCCAATCCCCAAAACGAGCACCCACGACTATCATACAGTGGATGG